GTCTTCCACTGTGTTTAACCTCAGGGTTAGGGAAATAGGTCAGACAACTCATTGGAGTGTGTGTTAAATTGCAGTGAAATATGAGATGGAAGTGTCACAGGGCTGAGCACCATCGCTTACGCCTCTTCAAATAGGCATTTATAGCAGAGCACTTTTTTTTTTACAGCATAAAAAGACATGTTTGCCAAAAAATGTCCATGTTTTATTCTGTCATTACTTTTATAGCATCAGTCAAACTGTTCAACCCAAATGGAGGTCGGTATCAGAATAGCATCTGATCTTATAATTTAATGGTTCAATCACAAGCAAGACAAAAAAAAATCAAATTAGTTGTATGTTGCTGATATTCTAAAGTCCACACTTGGTGCCCCACCTCACTGCTTATCGGTGGGTTGTAACTTTGAGGCCGAGCCAAGCAGATGTCCGGCTCTGGTCCAGCAGAGTCCATCCAGTTCCTGCAGGATGGCAAAGTGTGTTCCATGCTGTGCATCTATATCAGTCCCTTTAAACCTAAATGCCCATCTCCATTACCAGCCTCTGACTGTATGATCATAAGAAAATGATATCAGTCAGTTTTGGAATGAGCATTCACCTGACCTGCAGGTCATAATGTAGCATAAACGTGCTGCACAAAGACAAAACTAGGTATATGCAGAAGAGCGTAATTATTTACAAATGTCCCTTTCTTTTAAAAATCTTTTTTTACTGGGGATTTTAGTGAAAACAAGAGATTCTTTCAAGAAAATCCACAACGATTCCTGCAATGATTTGATGAATTATGATGGAATGTCTTATTTTCACAAATAAAGAAGTGTAATTAATTTCCTTTTGCACTTTCATTTTCTCTCTTGTTTGTTTCTGTTGATCCTGAAGGTATTTCATTAATACTTACTTCAATATAAATAGATCAAAACCCTTGTTCAGTACATGTATATAATTATGTGAAAAGTTGCAAATGGTCGTTTCCTACACTTAACTTGAGACTTGAAAGAATCCTTTGTCGGAATTAAAGATATAGATACATGTCAAGTGGTCTGATTTAATGTGCCAGTGAACACATAGCTCAGCTTTATCATTTGAAATGTTTACCACTTTAAATTAGATTTTTTGTCTAAAGGACAAGCTGAAATTGAAAGTATGACAATTCCCTCTAAAAAAATAAGTGTTTGAAATTGTTGATCAGTTGTTCTGGAAAGGCCTGTTGGTTTGTGAGCATTTAAATGTCAGATTCTGACATTCAAAGGTCATCTGAGCGTATCAGCACATTTGATTTGAGATAAGCGCGCTGCATGGCCTACGCTGAGCTGTAAGAGAGCTGGAGAGCAAAGTCAATCAAACACTTCTGTATCACCACAAGCCTTATTTGTCAAACTTATTAATCTATAAATACCATTCCTGTATGAAGCCTGAAAACAGGAGGCCTTTGTGAACATAATTTACTTTTAGATTACCTCCAGTCAAATGTAAAGAGTGAAGGTGGTGCAGCATGTTGGGAATGTGTTCCCCGTCTCTGTGATGTTGAGTTTAAACTTTAAAGGGCTTTCCTTCACAGCTCATGTGGAAGCCATTCCTTTTCCGTCTCAGTGAAGACAATTAAATGATGAAATCCCCCTCTCATTGGAGTCAAACAACTGATTAATCAAGCACAATAGATTTGATAAAGCCTTCCTGTTGTTTTGTGAAGTTTGAAGGTTTTATTACAAAGGAAAGAGATACAGAGATGAATCAAGGGGGTATAGGATAGAGTGTTTCTAATATTGAACTGAACAAAATTAAAAGATTTCACTCATTAGTAAAAGGATAAACAAAAAAGGTGAACATACTCCTGATTCTTTTGTGCTACCTATGGTAGGACAACCATTCATATCACTCCATCAAAGATGCATTACACCTAACCTCAGAACAAAAATGAAAATCAGATTTCAGTGAGACGAGAAGAAGACAGTGTGGATTTCAGAAAGCCCCCAAACCCCAAGGCTTACTGATCAAAGACATTTAAAGAAAAAGATAGAAATACAGGACAATTAATTTTGCTCATCATATAGTTGTCAAACTTAAACATGTCTGTACACCTAAACTGTCACCTTTGTACTGATTTTCTGCTCATATTGAAATAGTTGGCCTTAAACTGGGGAGGGTAGCCCAAAGAAAGAAAAAGGAAGCCCTTAGGAGCACATGCATGCATCCTAAGAGCATGTTGGTTAGCTGCACTGGTCAAAGTTGCTTCTGAGAACGTGCAGGAAGGGTGAACGCCTCACAGCAGACACAGATCACAGACGGATGTAGAAGTCAGCAGATGATTGCTAATTGAGGTTGGAGCCACACTGTGAACTCTCCCAGGTTAAATGTCAACGCATGCTTGTATAAAACACCAAACCCTGCTGTGCCTACTGTCGTGTGCATCTTGATGGATGTGAGACCTCGCTTCAAAGCTGTGTTAGTGCAGACCTATCACTATTTCTGCCACGGGCTCCAGTGTTTGGACTCGGACAACCGGATATTAGATCGTAAACAGGAACGACCGGCACGGCCAGGCCGAAATACCAACTAAACTAAAGTAGAAAAAATATCAAGATTAGCAAAAACCCGAGGATCACATAGAGAGACATTGGGGGACATAACAAGCATTGAAGATTTAATGGATGAGGAGAAGATAGAGAGTGAAACCAAAAAAGCTCAAATAAAGTGAAGGGTGGTTACTGAGTGGAGACAAATGAGACAATTATCACAAGTGACCAGACGATCAAAATGAAAACACTACAGAGACAAAGAACACACACTGATCTCTACACATGGTTCAGAAAAGATATTCCCCTTCTTCAAGGTGAGAGGGTTTATATAACAGCAGAGCATCATTTAAAGAGAGCAACGCCAAAATGCAGCGTGCCAAACACAAACTGGCACCTTGAATGTAGCTTGCAGAAGACTGAGCATGGCAGAGTGAATGGAGATTCACACAATTCAGTCACTTCCTTTCCGCACAGCGTGCAGAGACTCGGGGCAGGACTGACCTGCAGCTCTCAGCCGGTGAATGCTCATTTTGAGTGAATAATGCTAGTGAATAGTTTCTCTCCGACAAAAAAGGTTAAATAAAACTACACTTGCATGAATGGAAGTTCGAGAGCTGCAACTCACTGTTACCCTTCTCATGTCATCATTGTCATACGTTCTTAAGGAAACAGATACACATCCTATTCTAGTGGGTTATTTTATTTGATGGGCTTTCTAAACATTACAAAGCAGTGCAACAACATGTACACACCAAGGACATGTTTTCTGCACTGCAAATCATTTTGTATATTTCACTGAGAAGGATATTCTAATAATGAACTCAGTTCCAGGCTAAGCAAAAGAAATAAAGATAAAGATTCTAATCATTCTCCAGAATGTGTCAAACAAACCAACATTGTACCAGCTGTCTAAAATTTGAACCTTTCTAAAAAAGCTATACTTCACTGGTAATGTAGGTCAAAATAAGCCCCCTCTGACTGATGTCATTTTACAGTTTGAAGCAAATTGAAATTGAAATTATTAAGTTTGGACGCAAATTCAAACTGGAAGACTCACCCCCGTCTCTCCAGCTGCATCCAATTCCCTCATCATGCGCCTCTGCTCAAGCCAATCACTGTCAAGTTTCCAACGCCAATTCTCCAATCAGACTCCACTTTGAAAGACCTTCATTCACAGACTCTACAGCTCTTCAGCAGAATTTCGACCCTCCTCCAACCCATCTCCTCCATCATGCTCTCAGGACCCCTTCCAGCCTCCTTCTCCTCTGGCCTTTCCTCCACCACCAGTGTCCAGATGCCGGGGGAAAACATCTCTAATCCTAGTTCACTGCCATTCACAGCTTCCACATCTTCGACCAGGGTCCAGGAACCAAAGAACTTTCTAATTTATCAATAAATCTGTCTAATTGCCATTTTTCTGTGAGTCTTTCCATGTTGAAATAAGAATTATTCACAGTGAATTGACCAGGGTTGGAGTATGTTCTGTTCTACCAGCTAATACCATGTTGTCATCACTTGGACAAAGATCTTGCTTGCCTCTGCCTCAAACTTTTTTAGATTGCATAAAAGATTGTGACAGAGCTAGAAAACGTGCCTAAACTTTGCAATAATAATTAGGCATTGGTTGTTTGTTTGGAGTTTTTTTCCCAAACCGTACACTGGGGTGGGCAGTTTTGTGGGTTTCTTCCTCGAGGGTGGAGTCGGCCGTCTGCTCTTCTGCCGTCACACCTGCTTCCTGTCCAGCTCTGATTCCAGCTAGAATGTTGGCTCCCCCTCTGAATGTCAGGAGGGTGGATCTTAAGGTGGACTCAGTCGCGGAGATTCGTGAAAACAGGGTTTATTGTAACACAAAAGCACTCAAAGGAGTGGATGCAGGCAAGGTTCAAAACAAGGCTGTGACAAAAACTATGATCAAAGTAGCAAAGCAAGATTAACACGGCTGTGGCAAATGTATCAAAACAAAGTAAACAAGACTATGGCAAAACAAGGTTAACAAGACTGTGGCAAAACAAGGCTATGACAAAAACATGGTACAAAAATAAGACTATGGCATGGCTGTGACAAGAATGATGGCTATGGTAAAGTGCAAAAATCAAAACCTTACGTGGCGAGGGGTGACGGAAAGTGACGAAGGACAAAAACGCACTGGCACAGGACATGGGAAACGAGGAACTATTTAAACACATGAGGGAGGGGAACCCCAGGTGTAGCACGTGGAGTTAAAGCACAAAATGGTGGAAAATGTCAACTCTGTTATCGTCAACTCTGTTACATGTCACAAATTTGAATGATAACAGAGTTGACAGTGACTAACAGAGTCAGATGTTCCCAATCACTTCTAAGCATTTATTATGGGTTCTGGGTAATTTTATTGTACAGGCAAGATTTCTGATATCGCTTTTCAGGTCAAGAAAATGTTATTATTTTTGTTCTAGTTAGGTGAAGAGGAAGGTGTCAGCAGCAGAAAGGCAACGGCAATACAGGGCACTGCGAAATGCTGACCCTGAAAGGTGGGCAGAAAATTTGGAAAAAGACAGGGAGAGATGGAATAAAAAGAGAAATGCAGGGTTAACCAGAACAGTGGCTAATCTGAGTGAAAGGGAGCAGAGGCATACGCGGACGTATTGGAGAGAGGCTCAGCAGAGGTGTAGAGCAAGAGGGCAGAGAACTTTTGAAACGCCACCACCAAGTCCTGAACCAGACCCTGAACCACATACAACCAGGTTAGATTTGTGAGTGGTTAGGTCAATGAGTGTATAATTACAGTCCAGTCAGCAAATTTATAGATCAAGTGAGAAGTGTAGTTATTTGATTATTAGTACTCGTCAACATGATAGTATGTAATATATGATGAAATATATATTGATAAATAAAAAGGTATTTATTTAAAAACTCTTTTATACAAGGAATAATGGCAGGCTATGTTAAATTCATCTCAGACAAAAATACCACGACAACAAAGAAGAGATGATATCACGAATTGTGTCAGGAAAGATCATTAAACATTACAAACTACAGAAAACAACACAGATCGTACTTGGTTTTTCAAGGAAGCGATGTAGTCAGACGAAACATACTGGACTGTCTTTCCAAAGAAGAATATACCGATCATCTCAAAGCAAGCTCCAAAAGATGGTACAAGAATTTTTCTTAAGAGATGATGTCAGCTGCTTAACTTCAGGAAAAAAAAAAACATAACTAGGAGGAAAGTAAAAATGCAGAAAAGGTTTCTAAATGATACCTTGAAAAATCTTCATCGAAAATTTCTTCTTGAATATCCATCAAGTCACACACTTTTCTGCTGCATGCGTCCTGTTTGGGTTGTTCAACCATCCATATCTGCTAGAGAAACCTGTGTATGTAAAGGGCATGAAAACCTATCCTTCCTTGTGCAGAAGCTTCATACACTCCAACTTCTTGAGACAACTGATTTGGAAGTCATTGCCAACTCAACATGCTGTGATCCTGCAAGCAAAGAATGCATGTACGACGAATGTCCAAAATGCAGAAGCAAGGTCTACCACCTCAACCATGACAATGATGCTGAGGGTCCAGTAAGATGTGTTCAGTGGACATCTGAACTGGGAGAAAGGAGGAAGAAAAACAAAGAAAATCAGAAAGAAAGTCAGAAAGAATCACAACCAGTCCGAATGACTGTGAAAAAGGAGATGGAGAGTTCTCTAGGTGACATGTTTGATATGTTCCAGAAACAGCTAAGAGTCTTCACAAGGCATCATTTCAACATCAAAACACAATACGACCACTTCCGTGAGCTCAAGAAAAGTATGACATCTCATGAGTGTTTGATTCACATTCACTTTTCAGAAAACTATGCTTTCAAATTGTCAGCAGAGATTCGAGCTGTTCATTTTGCATCTTCTCAACAGCAGACAACCCTGCACACAGGAATCCTTCATGTGGGTGGAGTGGACAAACATTTGTGCTTCACAACTATCTCAGCATCAAAAGAGAAAAGTCCACCTGCCATATGGACACACATGTCCATATGATGTTAGATCATGTTAAAACACACTATGCATCAGTCAGTGTGGTTCATTTCTTTAGCGATGGACCTTGCAGCCAGGATCGCCAGAAGGGCAACTTCTATATGTGTCATGGGTGTCTTGTCACGTTTTCTGTTTTGTTTTGTAGTCCTTTCCTGACTCCTCCCTAATCACCTCCACCTGTGTCTTATTGTTTCCTTCCCTGTCTTGTGTATTTAGTCCCCAGTCTGTCTGTTGTTCGTCGCATGTTCGTACTTGTCTTTTCGTCACTCGTTCTAGCATTCTAGTCTCGTCTTGCCTTGTTTTCCTGACTTTTGCCTGCCTGTTCTCGACCAACGTTTTTGCCTGCCGTTCTTGTACTTTAGCCTGATCTATTGCCTACCCGTGTACCGACCTTTTTCTGGATTAAACGTCTTCCTCTTATTCCCTTGCCTGGAGTTTTGCATTTGGGTCCTGGTGTCACGACTGTGATAACATGTTTAGCACAGAGCTGTTTAAGCAGGGCTTTTCAGAAGGGCACATGGAGCTTCTTTGAAGCAGGCCACGGGAAAGGTGCTCCAGACGGAGTGGGTGGGGTTTTAAAAAGAACAGCAGACAGACTGGTCAGTGAAGGAAAAGACATTCCAAATCCCAAGCGACTGTATGACAGTCTGTTGAGTGTCCAGACCTCTATACAGCTGTTCTACATTGAAGAGGAAGCTGTGAACAAAGCTGGGCAGAAGATGCCCAAACAACTCCCAGTGGTTCCTTCCACAATGCGCCTCCAACAAACGATCACTCAAGCACCAGGAAAGATCATCTACAGCTGTCAGCTGTGCCTGCTCAACGAAACAGATTCTTGAGTGTACATGTCACAACTCAAAGATATTTGAATTTGATGTTCAGCCCGTCCTCTCTGATACCGCTGAAGAGCAACAAAGAGGAAAAATGAAGTGGCAGAGCAAAGATGAGATTGGACAGTGGTGTGACATTAAATATGATGATGACTTTTATCCTGGGACCATTGTTGAGGTCAATGAGACACATGCAAAAGTCACATGAATGGTTGGGGGGGAAAAATCGCTTCTACTGGCCAAACCGTGAGGACACTTTGTGGTATCCCTTTGATGGTGTTGTCAGAATCATCTCACAACCAACCCAAGTGACAGGGCGCCATGTTGAAATAGACAAAGAAATATGGGCTGAAATCGCCAGTGAATAATTTTTCAAGGGAGTAAGGGGGTGACAGTTGTTATTTTGTTCGGTTGTTATTGCTCAGATTGATGAATTTATAGATTTTCAGATGTTCTATGAAATATTTTATACTCTGTTCACATCACCATCAACTCTGTTTCACCAAGTTTTGTTTAAAAAAAATTATAATAAAATATGTATTAGTGTTAACAAATGAACCAGAAGCTGTGTCATAACTAACATTCTCACTACATGAAATTTCAAAGCATTTAATTAATTTTTGGAACTATAATTAGAGAAAATACAAACTGAAAAAAAAGAGTCTTTATCTTACAAAACTTAAAGTTGAATTAGTGGATGTAACGACAAAAGTTCTCTTAGGAAAGACATGGTTTTAAAATGTATTACATTTGAGAACTATAAATATTTACCCTAATTTGCTGCAACAGAGTGGACAGATTTTACTGTTACAACGATGATTTTCAGATTAGATATTTTAAATCTTACATGTTTAAGCTTGGCAAATGCTAGAAGTGTTACATTTAAAGTATTCTCTATGGGAATGAAAAAGGTTCTACTAAAAAAACAAAGAAAATCATATTTAGTCTAAACTTGAAATGTACCCGCAGTTCTGAAATGGGCCATACATTCATGGGAGCAGAATGAAGTTATGTTACTGCACAGCTCTCTTAAAGGTGCTTTAATAGGTATTTTGTCAACTTAAACTTTGGCAAAAAAATTTTAGATTTTATGAGAAGGAGGAAGTTGACATGTATTCAGCGGATAGATTGTCAGTTCCGTTTTCTGGTACCGCAGTTGGGACTCAGACCAGGAACCACCAGTACTTTTTAGACATAAATACTTGAGACACAGTAACCACAACAACTCATCCATAAACCCACCCCCATAACCAGTTCTGCTGAACAACAAGCACAAATTCTGCTTTCCACTCAAATTGCAGTTCTAAAATACAACATTTTCAAAAGACACACACTTCTCTGCATTCGGCCCAGTTTTCATGACAGATACTGTATCTGTTTTCATATGCACACTGTCAAAATTCAAGACTGTAAAGTGAATTACCCAACTATGCACGACTCATCACATGGGCTGTTGCTGCTTTAGGATTGGCTGTCAGAGCTTTAGCGTAAAGGGACAACATGGGAGCTCTTCCATTTTGGAGTGGATGCTAACACTAAAGAGAAGTCAGATTGAGAGCAGGAAGACGGGTAGGAGGAGGAAGGCTAATGACCAGAATCTCTGATGATTTACTAGCCATTTGGGTTGACCATGTGGTAAACCACGGTCTTCCAATGAGGGAGGCTGGGTAGTCAGATGCAGTCAAATTTAAGCAGGTACACTATAGCATCAATCATCTTGACTCTCTGAAATGAGAATAGGTAAGAAACAGGTAAAAAAATAACAGTCAGTGTGTACAGCACTGACGGAGGACTTTTCGGTAGAATAGAATATTTCCGATTTTTACAGTAAAGAAAGTATGTTTCATGCGTTTGTAACATTTTTTTTGTTTCTTTCTTTTTGTTTTGCAGAACTTAAAAATGACCGGCACAAGTGGGTCAGGAATGTATTTTGTTTCCTCAACAGGAAACTAAACCATGGAACTTAACCCTAACAAAAAAAAAGAAAGAAAAGAAAGACACCATAATATTACAGTTTTTCTCGATTGTTTACACACAAATATTGGTACTTGAAACACAATGACCACAAAATGTAACTCATGCACCAACCCCCTGAACCGATTCTGCTAAACTACAAGCACAATTCCTGCTTTACACTCAAATTGCAGTTCCAAAACACACTTTTTCCAAAACTCTACACACAATTGTCATGAAGAAATTTTTTTGTTTTCACAAGGAACACACTGTTATTCAAAACTCTAAAGTTAATTTCCCTACTATGCACACTGACTCCTCACATGGGCAAACACCTAACACACATGTTTCCACCCAGCAATCAGAGCTTTAGCATAAAAGGGCAACAGGTGAGCTCTTCTGTTTTGGAGCAATGGAGGCCAATGTTGTAAACAGAGGCAGAGCCAGAGCCAGAGGAGTGAGAGTAAGAGGAGGACGATGGGGAGGACGAGGACGAGGAAGGCCAAGGACAATCATTTCTGATGAGATCCGAGCCACTTTGGTTGACCATGTGGTCAACCATGGCCTAACAATGAGGGAGGCTGGGCAAAGAGTACAGCCAAATTTGAGCAGGTACACTGTAGCATCCATCATCCGGACTTTCCGCAATGAGAATAGGTAAGAAATCTACTCTCACTACAAAACTGCAGTACTGCATATCAATACAGTACTCAATGAGTACAGTAGTACAGTGTTACCTGTGGACTGTTCTGTAGGACATTGTGTTTCGAGTATTTGGGAAATGTATTCCTACACAGTATTTACAGTATTGCACTCTTTGTATTGCAGAACTGAAAGATTACCAACAAGAGGTGGACAGGGCCGTCTTCTGTCTCCTGAACAGGAAACAGAGATCATGAACATGGTTCTTGAAAATAACGCCATTACCTTACGGCAAATACAAAGAAAAACAATGAGATATTTCAAAAATATTGATAGGGTAAGTTTATCAACGCTGGACCATGTCTTGCACAGAAATAAACTGAGGATGAAGCAGGTCTACAGGGTGCCATTTGAGCGCAATTCAGAAAGAGTCAAAGAATTGCGATATAACTATGTGCAAGTACGTCCTATACATTCCCACCCTTGATGCATACTGTCAACATTGTATAAATCATACATATTTCTTTCTATTATATTGTAATCATAATGATTGTGCTTCACAATAGTGACCGCTCCATGTCTACTTCTGATATTGTCATGTGTGTTTCAGAGAGTCCTTGAGCTGGAGGTGGATGCAATGGAGCACCAGTTCTTCTTCATTGATGAGGTTGGATTCAACCTCACAAAAAGACGAAGGAGGGGAAGGAATATAATCGGCCAGCGTGCCATTGTTGAATTCCCTGGCCAGCGCGGAGGGAACATCGCAATGTGTGCAGCGATGACCCACCATGGCATCATCCATCACCATGCTACCCTTGGCCCCTACAACACTGCCCATCTGATCACATTCCTGGACACCCTACATAACACACTCATTCCACCAGATCAGATAGACGGCCCAGAGCAGCTCAGCTACGTTGTCATTTGGGACAACGTAAGCTTCCACCGGGCTGCTCTGGTTCATAACTGGTTCACTGACCACCCACGCTTTTCAGTCGTTTATCTCCCTCCATATTCTCCATTCCTCAATCCTATTGAGGAATTTTTTTCTGCCTGGAGATGGAAAGTGTACGACCTAAAATATTGTGATGAGAAATGTAATATTGTGTCTACTCTGTAAGTCGCTTTGGATAAAAGCGTCTGCCAAATGCATAAACATAAACATAAATTCAGAAATGCGTATACCCCTTTTCCAAGCTATGGAAGACGCACGTGGAGATATAGCAGTTGATGCTTTTCATGGCTGGATTTGCCATGCTAGGCGATATTTCCCCCGCTGCTTGGCCAGGGAAAACATTGCTTGTGATGTAGATGAGGTGCTGTGGCCAGACCGAAACAGAAGAGAGGATGCAGCATAGTTTATTTTGTTTTGTTTTTTTATTATTACTGTAACTGTATACAGTAAAATCTTCTGCACTGTATGTGCAACTTTGTGTCGGTTGGGATGTACACTGTGTACATTGTTTTGTGGGAAAAATAAAACATGTTTGTTACAGTATATTTGTGTGTTCTGAGTATAAAAACAATATTCTAAAATATTTTACAACGCACTTATGTATTTAATGTCTGTAGTAAGTGTAACACTGAACAAAAAGTCATTATGATGAATGGAGAATGGTGTTTTACACTGAGCACATCAGTGTTTAAATGCTTTTTTTAATTGTCTGTTCATATGATAGTTTGTGTGTGTCATCTGAACACAAAATGGCCTTTTGTGAAGAGATAAAACTGTTTTGAATGTAAAGTTTCATTTTGCAGGAGAATTGAAGGGTTTTGCCCATTGTGTGTTTGTTGGATTTGTGTGTAGAGTTCTGAGAATACGAGGCATGTTTTCAGAAATGTGTGTAAACAATCCAGAAAAACTGTAAGACAAAAGAGAGAGGAAAAAAATTGACAATATTTGACAATACTGAAATGGTAGATTTAACACTGAACTGCCTCTCTTCTGAGGATGAAGCAGGTCTACAGGGTGCCATTTAGCCACAATTCAGAAAGAGTCAAAGAATTATGATATAACTATGTGCAAGTAAGTCCTATACAACCCGCCATTTGTGTATACTCTCTATCGTATATATTTCAGTATTGTAATCATGATTGTGCTTCAGAGTAGTGACCACTCGATGTCTATTTCTGATACTGTCATGTGTTTGAGAGAGGCCTTCAGCCACAGATGGCTAAAGATGAGCACCGGTTCATCTTCATTGATGAGGTTGGATTCAACCTCACAAAAAGAAGAAGAAGGGGATGGAAGGCCAGCGTGCCATTGTCTGAGTCCCTAGCAGTGTCAGAGGAAACATGACAAGGTGTGCAGCAATTACCCACCATGGCATCATCCATCACCATGTTCCCCTTGGCCACTACAACTCTGCCCATGTGATCAAACTCCTGGACACCTGATACAAGACGCTTCTCCCACCAGATCAGATAGCCCAGATCAGCTCAGGTGCGTTGTCATTTGGGACAATGTGAGTTGTTGGTAATTGGTTCATGCCTCACCCCCGCCTTTTAGATGTTGATCTCCCTCCTTATTCTTCACACCATTCTAAAGACATTGCTGGCAGTATGGATGAGGTGCTGCAGATTGAAACAGGATGTGGCATAGGTTTGTTTTTTACTGTCACTATACAGCACAGTCTTCTATTGTTTTGCATGTCCACTGCAGCATGTGCAAATGTCTGTTTTCTAGGAAGTACATTGTGTATAAAAAAAAAATCCAAAATATTTTAAAACACACTTATATGTGTCCTGTCTGTATCAATATTAGGACCGAAGCCGGCGATAAAACGGCGACGATAAAACGATAAAAAAAATCTGCAATGAAGTTAGCCAGCAGGGTGATACTCTGAAGTTGAAAGACCAAATTACCAAACCCTAATACCAGAATACTGGCATGGATTTTTTTTCTTTTACAATTACAGCAAATAATGCACGGTAAAGGGCAAACATAGGACCTTTCTCGGAAGTGTTTGCTCACAGCATATTTGGATGCAAAAGGAAAGCCAGGTCTATTGAGTACCCACCAGACTAAAACTGTATGGGTTGCTGCATGCTGCCAATATACAATCTTATCTTGTATATCAGTAGAGAATTAAAGAAAATCAGGAGGCAAGTGCTTACCCTTAAAGAAACTGATTCAGCCAAACAAACATCAAATTGACTGCTGGACCCAATTTCAGAGCAGATTGCATCAGAGTCATCCGTTGACCCCTCTGATATCAGCTACAAGTTTATAATGACTCCAATCAGTGGTGTTAGTGTGCTCTACCCTGGAAATGAGTGCTCTTGGAGATGGTCATTATCCCAGATAGAGACAGTCCTTATCTCAGACACACACACACGTGTGAGGCTGATCCAAACTGCATCCCTGCATTTGTTGAGTTCAAGTATTTGATTGGTTGTTCTAATGTCTTTGAGAGATGCAGGGAGAGGATAAAACCGCCCTCCCTCACACACAAGCATCACTGCAGCTGTAAAGCATGCTCAGTGATTATGCGCATTGTTATATTATTCCTGACTTGCTCTGCGTTTCTTGCTCCCTCACTCGTAAACTCTACAGCATCTCAGACGCCCGGCTGCCACTAAAATCTGATTGAAAATTTGATGGCCATGTAAATCTGTGATATATGAATGTTTCATAGGCAAAACAGTATGTCTGTTTATTTTATGCGTATTTGGATTTAGTGTATTACAAATGTTGCATAATGTGTCTGATTAAGCTATTTGTTTTCTTTTCTCCCCCTGCAAAGAGACTAAACTGTCCATCCATCCATTGTCAACCGCTTATCCGGGGTCCGGTTGCGGGAACAGAAGTAGGGAAACCCAGACTTCCTCTCCCCTGCCACTTCTGCCGGCTCCTCCTGGGGGATCCCGAGGCGTTCCCAGGCCAGCCGAGACACATAGTCCGTGGGCTGCCACCTTATCGTGGTGGAGGGGTCTGAGTGTCCCAATGATCCTAGGAGCTATGTTGACCCTGGTAGGGTCACCCAAGGCAAACACGTCCTTGGTGAGGGATCAGACGAAGAGCAGCCCAAAAGATCCCTTATGACGAATAACACGAATGGGCCAAGTGTACCCTCGCCCGGACACGGGTCACTGGGGCCTCACTCTGGAGCCAGGCCCAGAGGTGGGGCAAGTTGGTGAGCGCCTGGTGGCCAGGCTTTAGCCCATAGAGCCTGGCCGGGTTCAGTCCGAAGAGGCCACATGGGTCCCCCCTCCATTGGGCTCACCACCCATAGGAGGGGCCAAAGGGGTCGGGTGCAGTGTGGAACGGGTGGCAGCCGGAGTCAGGGACCTTGGCGAACCAATCCCCGGCTACAGAAGCAGGCTCTAGGGAGGTGGAATGTCACTTCTCTGGTGGGGAAGGAGCCTGGTGTGCGAGGCAGAGAGATTCCGGCCGGACATGGACGCACAGCTCTGGCTCTGGAACCAGCCTTCTTGAGAGGGGTTTGACGCTCTTCTACTCTATACCCTCGATGGGGTCCTGGAGGGTGCATGGGATTTCGCTCAACCAGTCTACATGTGTTTTGTGGACTTGGTGAAGGCGTTCGACCGTGTCCCCAGGGTATCCTGTGGGGGGTACTCCGGGAGTATGGGATACCTGGCCCTTTGCTACGGTCTGTTAGGTCCCTGTACGACCGGAGTCAGAGCTTGGTTCGCATTGCCGGTAGTAAGTCGGATCAGTTTCCGGTGAGAGATTGCCCTTTGTCTCCAGTTCTGTTCATTACTAGGCGCAGCTGAGGTGTTGAAGGTGTCCATCTATGTGGCCTTAGGATCACATCTCTGTTTTTTGCAGATGATGTGGTCCTGTTGGCTACATCGAGTCATGACCTACAGCTCTCGCAGGAGTTGTTCGCAGGAGTGGTTTAGGCCAAAGCAGAAGATATAGTTTCGCCCCAGGGAGGATATATGTGACACGGTCAACAGTTTGAAAATTGTAACAAAAATATTTTTTTTATTTGCAGAAAAGCCACTCTTTAACTTCTCCAACTGAAATAGTTTAGCAACTGACTGAATTTATATTTTGTTGTCAACCTCATTAATAAACAACAAATGATTAACAAAAAAAACTAATATTGTTCAAAATGCAAAAGAAATGGGCCCAAAATAATGAACCAGTCCAGTAAACTCAACCGTCCAGATTAGTCAGTGTCCTTATCTTGTCCGTAATAAAGTGTTCATTTACCCAGGGTAGTGTGATTTTGTTTTCTTATCAGTAGGGTGTGATAGATGTGCTTTCTCCAGATACACGATGAAGCAGCCCTCCGACCTCACACCCTGCACACATTTAAGCCGGAAAACTGCTCCATGTTCCGTGGGTCCGGCTCTGGCTCGCCATCAAAACCAAATCATACAAAAAAACAACCTGCGTATAGCAGCAGTTTTTACATTAATCTCTCTTTTTATACAGTACATTTACCCAAATCAACTGTATTCATTCTCTTTCTAATCTTAAATCGATGAACGTGAACCATTCAAAGTGACAAAGTATCACATAGAGAGATGAAAGCTATGAGAAATAAACTTGAAGAGGTGACAAAGGATGGAACAGAATGAAAGCGTTGGGTACGAGAACAAGCTTGGAATAAAAAAAACACAAGACTCACCAAGAAAAAAAACAGAGCAGCTGCTGCGGGGAAGCCAACTCAAAAACCCCTGCATCAAGAAAACTCTGCTATTCCACAACGCACTCATTCATGAATTGAAACAAAACAAGTCTGCCCACAAGAACAAGAACCTGACTCTTTCAGGCAAGGTTCTGAAAAAATATCGGCTAATTCACCAGACAAGGCAATTTGGCGTAACATATAACACACTGCGGAAGAGGAGGCCTACTGACAAAAAACCTACATACATTCAAGCAATTACTCAGAAGATTCAGGATTTCTACCATAATGCAGCACGAATGACAAATGACAAACAGGACACAATCACACACAAGAATATAAAGCATCAGAGAATGATTCTGACTGATATAGTATTAAACCTCTACAAGGAGTTCACCAAGAAGGAACCAAGAGTGAAGCTCAGTTATTCATCCTTCTGTACCTTACGTCCATTTTGTCACAGCACCAAGACCATCAGATCGTAAGACATGCCAATGTCAGTACCATGAGAATGCTAAGCTGATGCTTGAAGTCCTAAGAGAAAATGGTGTCGTCAAGTCTGGCAAACTGGAGGATAGTTTTGAACTTGTCTGGTGTTCACAGACAAGTGAGGCATGTCTTCTGCGCTCCTGCACCTGGTGTCTCCACAAACATACACTTCCCACACCACAGCAAGACCAGACCAATGTTGAATGGCAGCAATGGGAACGAGTTTAGGATCAAACAGCAGATAGGCTCCACTTCAACACCAGACTTGTACACACAGTGGCGCGCTGGGAGAGCTTCTTCTACAATATGAAGACAAACTAAAGACAGAAACAACAACACACGTGTGCTCAGTTCAGAACCAGACCAGAGAGTACAGGAGCATGATTTAGAAGTGCAATGTTAGCACAGTAATTGTGCATGTGGACTTTTCTGAAGCGTGGAAATGCAAGTATTGTTCTGAGGTACAGTCATGCCATTTTGGTCAGAACCCGCACACTGGCATATAATATACAAAAGAACAGAAGACAGGCTTTTGCACAGTATCAGAATCCAAGCGACAAGATGCGTCTGCCATTTGGACTCACATGGAACCAATCCTGACAGACATTCGTTTAAAGTTTCCAAAAGTTGATACTATTCACTTTTGGTGAGATGGCCCCAGCAAGCAATACAAGAACAAGAATAACTGGAATAATCTCTCCTCTGCAGTGTCCCTCCAACTCTAGGTTTCAAGAGAACAACCTGGAACTTCTTCCCCACCTCACATGGGAAGGGAGCCCCTGACGGCATTGGAGGAACTGTTAAAAGGACAGCAGACAACCTTATAGTGCGCTGGAATGACATTGTGAATGGGAATGTCTTCCATGAGATGGTTGGCAAAAGCCTCTGTAGCACTAAGCTGTATATCATTACTGAAGCTGATATGCATCCATATGATGCACTCCTTTCTCAATCACTAAAACCCGTACCTGCAACAAGGAAACTCCATCAGGTCACACCGACATACCGAAACGACTCTGAGATACATTGCAGATCACTGTCCTGTTTCTGCAGTGAGCCACAGATGTGCAAGTGTTTCAGCCCAACAATATTCCAGTTGACTGCCAACACACCCGGGGTACAGGTTGAGGATGATGGTCCTATACCAATGCAAAAGAGGAAAGGTCGTCTGGCAATGTTGATGGAGGAAATGGAACAGGAGCAAAGTGAGCAAGAGCCAATGGAGCAAGAACAACTGACCAAGACTGGACCTGATGGGACTGTGACAGATCTATCTGATGATGTAGTTCATTGCGGAGATTGGTTTGCGGTCATTTATGATCACAACTGGTGGTTAGCAAAGGCTGTCACTGTGGACGCTGTGGAATTAGAGTTTTTCCACCCTCATGGGCCCAACACACGATTCTATCCAAAAGGAGGGGGGAAAGGATATGTGCTTCATACCATTTGACCATATTCTGGTCAGACTTGTGGAACCATCATCACCAGGTCGTGTAAGCAGGACGAGGGAGATATACAACCTGTCTGCTGAAGTCATGGACTTCATAGAGGAGAAACATGTAAAGCATATACTTCCTGATAAAGATACATGAGTGGTGGAGTGATGTAAAACTGTCAGGGAATACTCACAGGAGTTCTTTTATTCCCAACCTTTACAGTGACACAGTCAATCATGCCGTTAGTGCATTTGGGTTTTCAGAGAATGATACCATCGTCTCCACAGAAATTCAGTACAAAGGCACAGCATACAAGAAGGGTGATTTCTTATTTTTGAATGAGTCCATGGAATTTTAATTAAGGATAATGCCACTGTGTATTTTCTTATGGACACACACAAATCTGACCACCTCCCTAAATACCACCTGTACGCTGTGACACAACAAAGTACCGGAATGCAGTGTGTTAACATTAAAGCCTTTGTAGATTTTTACCCATTGACATCATACATTGTTGATGGACACCGAGTCATTCCACTGAAACACAATGTTTTGTCAAACTGATTCTTGCTATGTTTGAATAAGTAAAGTACAAATATTTTTAGACATTAAG